CAGATCCATGCCATACTACTCGCACAGACCAGCCCACTACTGACAGGCCTATTTACCCACGGGTATCAGACAGACCCCTTTTTTACCGGAGGCAACTCGCAGCAGTTCGCAGCAGCAAAAGGGGTGTATTACGTAAAAGTCGGTACCGACCGCATCTGGGTACCGGGCTACACTTTACTAAAAGAACTGTTACTACAGGAGGCACACGACGGGGTTACCTCAGGACATTTCGGGGTAGAGAAAACACGGCAACAGCTGCAGCGGTATTACTACTGGCCCGAGATGCTGACCGACGTGCAACGACACGTGGCATCGTGTCCCACCTGCCAGCTCATGAAGTCGTCACGACAACGATTGGCAGGACAGTTGTAGCCGATACCACCCCCAGAGCGTGCTTGGCAGCAAGTGACGATGGACTTCGTCACGGGGTTACCGGCTGGAGCAAGTGGGAACGACGCGATCTTGGTCGTCGTCGATCGGCTGACGAAAATGGCACATTTCGCAGCCTGCAAAAAATCAATCACAGCCGAAGAAACAGCCCGCCTCTTCATCTCCACCGTCGTTCGACTGCACGGGATACCAGCATCAATTATCAGCGATCGAGACACGAAGTTCACCAGCAACTTCTGGCGGAACCTGTGGCAGCAGTTCGGCACACGACTACAGTTCAGTTCATCATACCACCCCGAAATCGACGGACAGACAGAACGGACAAATCAGACCATGGAACAACTCATCCGAGCCACGTGCGACGACCCGGCCACGTGGGAACAGCAACTGCCACTCATCGAGTTCGCGTACAACAAATCGCCATCTGCCACGACCCAACAGTCACCGTTTTACCTGAACTACGGACAAGACCCCACAGTACCCATGACCCCGAATCCCGACAACCCAGTCCCATGCGCGCAACAGTTCGCAGAAATATTGCAAGCAGCACGGACCCGAGCAGCAGAAGCAATAAAAAAAAATCAAACGTCATCGCTAAGCGCAACGCTGACCGACACCGCCGCCCCGTCACTTACCAACCCGACGACCTGGTATTACCCGACACTCAAAACCTCCGCCTGCCCATCACCCCAAAACTCCGCCCCCGATATTGCGGGCCATTTCGCATCAGCCACATGATCACACCCGTCACCGCCCATCTCCTCCTCCCTGCTGACTGGTACGTCAGCCCGTCATTTGTCAGAAGAGTAGCGAGAGTATGGAGCCATAGCTAGGGTTTACCTAGCTAGGCAAGAGAGAAATGAGCAAAGGAGGGTTTGCACTAGTAGCAGTTGAGATACATATAGGAAACCCTAATTGGGTTGTACTCGCTATAGAGTACCCCACTGCAGGCTAGACAATCATAACATTCTGACACACCCCCATAGTCAAAGTGGGGTATAATCAGCAGAGCAAGCAGTCATAGAGCAGGTTCACAAGTGCAAGCAAAGCTAGAGGCATTCACAAAGGGCAAGTGAGGAGGAGGAGGCGGGACTGTAAGAGGAGAGAAGATAGGAGGCGACGGCTGAAGCTGCAGACACACGGGCAACAGGAGCGGCTGGCACAGTGGCTACCGGGACAGCGCCCCGGACTACTGGAGTAACTGGCTCGGCGGCTACGAGGAGCGGCAGGAGCAACGGACCCACGGGCGACAGGCGCAGCAGGCTCTCTGGGCTACCAGGACAGCGCCCCGGACTACAGGTGCTGCGGACGACAAGACGGCAGCCTCCGCTCAACCTCCCCCAACTGTCCCACCCCCCTTTCACACACCCCCTGCTGAAACCCTAGCTCCACTCCCACGGCACCCCCCTTAAACCCTAAACCCTCGGCTCCCACACACCCACCCCCCTCAGCGGCAGCTGCAGCAGTGGGAGACGGAGGAGGAGGAGGAGCTGCAGGTTACCCACACCGTTCACCCCCATGCCCGCCACCCCCAAACCCTAACGCAGGCAGGAGCGCGGGAAGAAGCAGGGGCGGTTCACGGAGGGAAAGGGAGGCGGCAGGGGGGTCTCCTGGGCGCCACGAAGGAGCAGGGCGCGGGCCCCCCGAGGGCGCCACGGCGGGTGACGGGAGGGGGGCCGCGCACGGGCCCCCGAGGGCGGCTCGACGGGCGACGGGAGGGGCCGCGCGCGGGCCCCCAAGGAGCCGCGACGAGGCGACGGGAGGGGGCGGCGCGCGGGCCCCCAAGGCGCCGCGACGAGGCGACGGGAGGGGGCGACGCGCGGGCCCCCAAGGCGCCGCGACGAGGCGACGGGAGGGGGAGGCGCGCGGGCCCCCGAGGCGCCACGACGGGCGACGGGAGGGGGGCCGCGCGCGGGCCCCCAGGGCGCCGCGACGGGGCGACGGGAGGGGATGGTGCGCGGGCCCCCGAGAGCGCCACGACGGGCGACGGGAGGGGGTGGCGCGCGGGCCTCCGGGGCGCCTCGACGGACGGTTAAACCGCCACGCGCACCGAGCGCGCGGCGGGCAGAAAAAGCCGCCACGCGCTCGGAGCGCGTGGCGGAAAGAAAATAACACGTCGCGCACCACGGGGCGCGCGACAAACAGAACGACAGCGGAAGCAGTTGGTGGGCCCGTTGAGGTAAGCGGCAGGAACGTGCTCGCTCTAGATACCATGTCAGAAGAGTAGCGAGAGTAAGGAGCCATAGCTAGGGTTTACCTAGCTAGGCAAGAGAGAAATGAGCAAAGGAGGGTTTGCACTAGCAGCAGTTGAGATACATATAGGAAACCCTAATTGGGTTGTACTCGCTATAGAGTACCCCACTGCAGGCTAGACAATTATAACATTCTGACATCATTCCACGTCAGCCTGCTTCGCCCATACGTGCCATCCACCAGCCAACTGCCTCGCAACCGCCCTGCCAGCATGACACGACCGCCAACAGAGCCAATCATCACACCCGAAAAAATACTGAGCCACCGAGTACGTGACCCACGGGGAGCCCGCAGGATCGAATTCCTGATCCGCTGGAAAGACCGCACGCCCACCGAAGACAACTGGGTCCCCCTGGATAGAGTTGAAAATCACCCTGTCCTCAATGAGTATCTGCGCAGCCGAAACTTTCGCGATGTACACGCGCTCTCATAAGGAGGGCCTCCTTGGGGGGGGGGGGGGGGGTAGTGTAAGGAAAATTCCTTTTCCTTACTTCGCGCCCCTGCTTACCGCGTACAAGACCATTCCCGCCATCGGCACCCAAACAGTGAAACGTTACCCGCTCGCGACACTCGCCTCGACTACGACTCCCGCCACCGTTCACGATGCGACCCAACCTCACGGTTCGGTTGGTAACCCGCGCTCCGGACTGTCAAACATACTAGGAGTACGGCCTAGGCTTAGTAGCCTAGGCCACAGTAGGACTACGAAAGGAGGCGCCAAGTACGAGCTAGGATTGTGTGCAGGAACAGAATTGAGAAGGAATGATTGGACTAGCAAGCAGCAAGATACAAAATAGCAAACCCTAAGGGGCTGTACTCACTATTGAGCACCCCACTGCAGGCTACACAAACAACATATTCTGACACGGACCTCCGCCTCGACATTTCCCAACCTCGGCGCTAGGCCCGTAGCGCACCCCATTATCTCGCGTTACCGTTACCACTCTAGTTCGCTACCGTCATCGCCCGGATAGTAGACAGTGTTGAATAGTAGACAGGGGTTGTCTATTATCCGGGTGTCTCTTATAAACAGGCTAGCCTCATTATAAGACACCTATTTGTGTGTACGAGATAAGACATATGTGTCTTATAATCGAAACTGCAATATATTATAGTGAAACTTGAAATACCGCGTACATTTTTACCCTTGCGATGCGCGGATTCTTCCACGTGCTGACTCAGGTACTACCAAATTTGCCTATGCACGTATTTTCCATGATGTAGCTTCCCGAACAATGGTTGCCAAAGTGGCACCTTCGCAACATCCACACTCATTATGAGAAACTCTTTTCAAGATGTGTGAAACAAATTCTAAGTAGTTTAAAAAGTTCCCATTTATAAGACTTATAAGACACCCAAAACCTCCCCAAATACAAGATAACCCAAGCATTTTTTCTAGTGTACGAGATAAGACATATATGTCTTATATCCGGGCGATGACGGTACCGTATATATTCTTCGCGCATGACTTCGCTCATTGTATTGTTTTTGCTTCGATAGTGCAATTCTCGCTCGCTCGCTCAATTGCACTCGTAACAGCAGCGCAGAGGCACAGTCGTTCCCGAGCCCCCCCGCCCGCCCCTTTTTCGCTCGCACAACGTACAGGACAGTCGTTTCCAGCGCCCCTCTTCCCTCCCCCCCCCCCCCTCCCTCCCAACGATGTGCTGTCAGTCAGTCAGCTTCGCGCCGTTTCGCTTCTCCTGCGAATCGCTCGCCCTCGAGTGAGTCAAACAAAGTAGGAACGGATCTGGACTCGCTGCAAAAAGGGAATTCGTTACCGTTTTAATCAGGATTTCATAGTAAAATTATTGATGCGCTTATAATAAGTCAAGGTTTTACAAGGGGTGCGCTTATAATCGAGGATCGGCCATAAGTGCATTGCTCCAGATATAAGCGCACGGCAGGGCCTCAGAAGTCAGCGAAAAAAGGCTGATTTAGGTAGAAAAGGCTGAGATTTCAGACCTTCCTTAGAACTGAGGCTGATTTTTCAGCGATTTGTTGAAACAAAACAGGAAAATTTAATAGATTTGTAGTGCAAAATAGCAAAAAATTGGCTGATTTCTCTGATTTTCAGCAAAACGTTTTGTACCAACTCTGATTTTTCAGCCTAGGCCAAAACGAATCTGAGGCCCTGGCGCATGCGCTTAACATAGGCCTGCGCTTATATCCGGGGTGATACGGTAGTCTGGTTTCAGACAGGGTCAAATCCCAGCAAGAGCCCTGCTAAGGAGCCCACTGTAGGGGCATTTACACTAACAACATTTGGACACTACTGGGTCTTCAAATCGTCAGTATTTTCTCCATACACCAGACTCAATGCCATGCGTTTAGAAAACAGCGCTGTGAAAACAAAGCTGCTAGCGTTTTTGGAAGTTGATGACTTTGAGTGCGACGGCAAAGACGACAAAGAAGAGCGCGGAGAAGGCCACGAGAATGAGGCTGGCGTAACCAATCCACTGCTCCTGGTAACCCAGGTACAGGTCCAGAAACTGCTGCACCGTGATCTGGACTGGGTAGCCTGGCACTGTGAGTGGGTCCTGAATGTCGCCCAGCTGGAGAATTGAGTGTAGGGAGAGAGTGTAGGGGGCAAATGGTGCAAAAGAGCTTTAAGAGTAAATCCTGCTGGTCACCCATGTAGCAGTCCTGAAACTGCTGCACTGTTATCTTCACTGGGTAGCCTGGCACTGTGAGTGGGTCCTGAATGTCCCCCAGCTGGAGAATGGGTGGGGTGGGGTGCTGAGAGATGAGTTTTGGGCATGGAAGACGGTACGGGGCTGAGAGAGAGGGAGGATAGGGTAGAGAGTTTGAAAACCAGGCACAACCACAGGTTCGGAAGCAGATGACACGGACCTGAGAGGAGATGACACGGACATGAGAGGGGATGACACGGACATGAGAGGAGATGACACGGACATGAGAGGAGATGACACGGACCTGAGAGGAGATGACACGGACCTGAGAGGAGATGACACGGACCTGCGAGGAGATGACACGGACCTGAGAGGAGATGACACGGACCTGCGAGGAGATGACACGGACCTGCGAGGAGATGACACGGACCTGAGAGGAGATGACACGGACCTGAGAGGAGATGACACGGACCTGAGAGGTGATGAAACGGACCTGAGAGGAGATGACACGGACCTGAGAGGTAATGACACGGTCCTGAGAAGCGATGAAATGGACCTGAGACGAGATGACACGGACCTGAGAGGAGATGACACGGACCTGAGAGGTGATGAGGCCGTAGAGTGACCAGGCGATCGGGTTGATGTAGTAGAACCAGCTCCACCACACAGGAATTTCCTGGAAGCAACACAGAAAGACACATGCTCACACACACACGCATGGCAAGAAGGAAGCATACATGCATTGCATTGCATCAAGCAAGCACACGCGCGGATGGATAGAGAGACACAAAAAGTCGGATGCATCACGAGGTGAAGCCACAAGACTTGAGTGTTGCAAGCTCACGTGTTCCGTGCTTCAGGCAACCCCACATACTATTCTCACATTCTCACCATGCTCACAAATGCTCACAATGCAGTACGTACCCTTGCTTGCTCGAACTGGAACGGGCAACGCACCGGCTGGGGGATGAGGAAGCCGCACATGAGGTTCCAGAGCATCACGAAGAAGCCGCTGAGCACCACAGCGAGCAGCTCATTGGGCGTGATGGCCACCGCCATCATGCCGAAGCTCGCAAAGCACAGCAGCGTCAGGCAAATGAACGCGCAGTACATCCAAAACTTGCCGGCCGTCCACTCCAGCTCGAGCAGCGCGTAGGTGATCACGCAGAACAGCAGCGTCTCAACCACCACATACGGCGTCTCGATCGCCCCCTGCGCCAGCGCATACGGGAGCGACCCGTACAGCCCGGCGGCCCGCTCCCGGTAAAACACCGTGCGCTCGGTACACAGCATGGGCTGGAGAGAAGTCGCGGCGTTCCACCCCATGAGCAGCGACGTCACATAAAGCGCTCCCATGACGTTCAGCACCTCCTGCTGCGTGGCGTGGTAGTGGCCGAACCCGAACATGACGGCTCCCATGAGGAGGGAGATGCAGACGGCGAGGAAGAAGCGGACTGCGTTGAAGTCGGGCGCGCGCCAGTACATGAGCGCGCGCTTCCAGAAGTTGGCGAGGAATTGAGTGAGGAAGGAGGTGGAGTAGCGCGTGGGGAAGTGGAGCGGCACGGAGCCGGCAGGAGGGGTGGAGAGAGACGCGATCAGCGCCTCGTTGTCCCTGCAGGGGGGGTGGGTGTGTGGGTGGGGGGGGGGTGAGGGAAGGGTTGGAGGGGATATAAGAAGTTGGGTGAGGAGAGGCTATTGGGAGCGGGTGAGAGAGACGCTATCAGTGCATCGCTGTCCCTGCAGGAAATTCAGGGAAGGGGGGAAGAGGGGAAAGGGGGACGAGAACGGCGGGGAAATAGAAGGGGTGGCGTTTGAGATTGGGTGTGGCAAGGGAGGCGATCAGAGGCTCGTAGGAGATTCAGGCAGGAGGAGAGGGGGGATGATGAGATGATGGCTCAGACCTGAGTAGCTGTGAATTCCTAATCTGTCACCTGAACTGCTGCAAATTCCTGAATATCCACTTGAAGTTGTGAATTTCCCAAATAAAAAAATATAGAGAGCTATGAGTCCGTGAATATCCACCTGAACAGTTGTGGGAGAGATTCCAGATATTCACCTGAACAGCTGCAAATTCCTGAATATTCAATTGAACAGCTGAGCACCTGAATATCCGCCTGAACAGCTACGAATTCCTGAATATTCACCTGAACAACTGAGCACCTGAGTATTCACCTGAACAGCTGCGAGTTCCTGAAGATCTCCGCAAAGTCGGCCCCAATGCTCTCAGCATTAGCAGGCGCCGTGACTTCGAGCATCCACGTGGCGGGGTTGTAACCATCAGGGATGGGCTGCACGCCGGGTATGGCCTGGCATGGTGGGTTGGGGGAGGGGAGAGGGGGGTGGTGCCAAAACAAATGGTTGAAGGGAGGTGAAGTGACCTCGAGCATCCACGTGGTAGGATTGTAGGCATCAGGAGGGATAGGCTGCACCCCGGGTATGGCCTGGAGCTGTGGTGGGTTGTGAGGGCGGGGAAGTGGAGGAGTCTTTAGTCGAGGTGCCTCCAGAAACGATTGTGGTTGTCAAGGATAGGCTGCGCCCCGGGTATGGCCTGGAGTGGAGGTGGGTTGTGGAAGGAGGGGCGATAAAGAGGAAGGGCGGTGAAGTGACCTTTCTTGCTGCGCCAGGTGCCCCCAAGCAAGGGCGACGAGGCGGGAACGGAGGGAGGGAGTGGGAAGGGAAGGAAGGGGAGGGGGGAGGCGAGGGATGGAAAGGAAGGTGGTAAGAAAATGAGCTGGAGTTGATTGATAAGGTATCGGATCTCAAGTTAGAAGTGGAAGTCAAGGAGAACAGCAGGAGGAGAAAGGGAAGGGAGAGGAAACAATGGGAGTAGAAAACAACTGGAGGAAGGAACGAGGCGGAGGGATGTGGCGATACCTCAAGGCAGCAGAATGAATACGAGGTGATACCTGAAGATAGTTGATGAGATGCTTCGAGTTGACCCCCAGAGGCCCCATGTAGATAACCTCTCCTCCTGTCTTCATTAGAAGCAGCTGCAGTACAGGAACAAAGAGGCACACAAGACAGGGAAAAACTCATCCTACGATCCAGGCAGCACACGAGCGTACGGTGGTGCACAGTGCGTTGGTCTATCATTGAGGCGCCTCAAAATGAAACACGAGTGACACAAGCAGGCAGAATGCTTACGTACGGTGGTGAACACTCACTGTCCGAGCATACAAAAGTGGCATAAATGATGCACACTGCGGTGGTGGCCTGTTATTGTGTGGTGCGTGGTGTGTGCATGCCCATTACAACCTGTCCCGACTCATTGTATGCTCCAACACATTCGTACTCATTATAGCGTACCTCATCAAAGGCCTCAAAGATGTCAGTGGAGGGCTGGTGGATGGTGCACACCACAATTCCGTTTGAATTTAGAGGACCAATACTCGTTATAGCGTACCTCATCAAAGGCCTCAAAGATGTCAGTGGAGGGCTGGTGGATGGTGCACACCACAGTGCGCCCCGTGTCCACCGTGTTGCGCACCGTTCGCATCACGATGGCTGCTGCCCTCGCATCCAGACCTGAAGGGGGGAAAGGCAGAGAGGAATGGGAGCTCTTGAGGCTGTGTTGCCCACCATGTGCATCACAATGACTGCTGCCCTCGCGTCTAGACCTGAAAGGAGGGGGAGAGGGAGAGGAACGGGAGCAGCGAGCACTGGTGCTGCTGCAGACCACAGTGCGCCCCATGTGCCCTGTGTTGCGCACCGTTCTCATCACTATCGCTGCTGCCCTCGCATCCACGAGGGGTTGGCCACGAGCTTGACGCCGATGGTGAGGCGCTTTCTCTGCTCCGTGGACAGCCCACTCACCCCCGGCAGTCCCACCAGCAGCCCCACCAGCAGCCCCACCGGCAGCCCCACCGGCAGCCCCACCAGCACAACTGCGCTCTGAGGGGCCTAAGAAACGCACCGACCCTGTGGAAGATCGAGGCATGCAGTGTTACCAGGGGAGGAGGGGGAAAGGCATGCAGCAGGCGGTACCTGAGGTGGGTTCATCCAGGCGGTACCTGAGGTGGGTTCATCCATGAAGATGATGGAGGGGTTGGACACGAGCTCCCAACAGCCCCTGAGGAAGTTCCATCTAGATATACAACACCAGGTGGTACCTAAGGTGGGTTCATCCAGGCGGTGCCTGAGGTGGGTTCATCCAGGCGGTACCTGAGGTGGGTTCATCCAGGTGGTACCTGAAGTGGGTGCATGCAGGTGGTACCTGAGGTGGGTTCATCCAGGCATCACCTGAGGTGGGTTCATCTAGGGATGAGCATGGAAACGAACACCTGTTCGGTTCGCCTCGAATTTTTTTTTGGCTAAAAATGTTCGGGGCGAACGTGTTCGGTGTTCGCCCGAACACGTTCGGTGTTCGCCCCGCTACTGCTGCCGAGCCGCGTCGAACACGAACGCGTTCGTGTTCGTTTCGGGGCAAAAACGAACACGAATGTGTTCGACGCGACTGTCCCGCGATCTACAATTTACGTTGCGGGACATTCTGTTTGAGCTCAAATTTGAGCTCAAACTTAGTCGCGCTATTCAGCAGCAGCCATTACTACCACGCCCCCCACACATCACGCCGTTATCACCTCATTAGGACTTAGCGTAATTAAGTAGTTACCCTAGGTTAGTCTGTCTAGACTTGGGTATGCGAGATTTAGGCTTCCGGGAAAAGATTAGTCAGGGATACCGCAGAATCTCGTAAGTTGAGGGTTTGGGGTTAGCATTCGCAAATTTCGTATGCATGGGATTGAGAGGAATAGCGTTCCCATATTTCGTGAGTTAGGGGGTTGTGGGGGGTTGGCGAGCAATCGCAAATTTCGTAGATATAGAAGGGGGAGAGCATTTCGCCTTACGTGGGGGGAAATCCAGGTGGCGAGCTGGATAAAAACAACTATGGATCGGTAACTAGATCTCGCAAAATGCTGATCCAGCCTAGATATTTTCCCCCAGTTTCCCGCAATTCCCCTGCCCGCCGTTGCGTATTTCGAGCGCAACAAAGGATGCCCAGGGGCGAACACGAACGTGTTCGCCCCCAACACGTTCGTGTTCGCCTTAGCATGCAAGATGTTCGCCCTCACAGGCGAACATCGAACACCCTTTTTTGTAAAAGGTGTTCGGCGAACCAAACACTGTTCGGTTCGCCGAACGGCAGTGTTCGAGCTGGGGCGAACGCGAACACGTTCGTGTTCGCCCCTTGCTCATCCCTAGGTTCATCCAGGCATCACCTGAGGTGGGTTCATCCAGGCATCACCTAAGGTGGGTTCATCCAGGCGGTACCTGAGGTGGGTTCATCCATGAAGATGATGGAGGGGTTGGCCACGAGCTCAACACCAATGGTGAGGCGCTTCCTCTGCTCCGTGCTCAGCCCGTTCACCCCCGGCAGCCCCACCAGCGCGCCCCTCAGCACGTCCAGCTCCACCAGCTCCATCACCTCCTCCACAAACTCCTGGTTGAGTGCGGTGCAATGTGGTATGGTGTGGTGTGGTGTGGTGTGGACCGTGTGGTAGAGGGAGGGGCAAGCGGGGGTGAGGGGGAAGAGACACGAGAAATGGGCAAGCCCCGGGTGTGAGGAAGACAATGCACGGAGAGGAAGTCAATGCACGGTGAGGAAGACAATGCACGGTGAGGAAGACAATGCACGGTGAGGAAGACAATGCACGGTGAGGAAGACAATGCACGGTCGCCCAAACGATCTCGTCATGCCTTCTCATCTCTCCTCACCCTCTTTTCCTGCTCTCGTCCCTCTCTCATCCCTCCTGATTCTCTCATGCCTCGCTTCATTCTTTCCCCATCCTCCTAATATCCTCTCGCAAGCCATCCCAAGCCCATCACCCTCACACCCCTCCCAACCTCTCTCGCACACCCCTCCCCTCCCCACGCACCTCCCGCACGTCCCTCTCGATGTCTCGGGGAAGCCGCAGCCACGCGGAGAACAGCAGGCTCTCGTGCACCGTGACCTGCGGCGAGTGGATGTCGCTCTGCTCACAGTACCCCGACACGCGTGCAAACGTCTCATGCACCTTCGGATGCCCCGCCACCATCACCTCTCCCTCAATATACCCCCCGGTCTTCCTCCCTGCTAGCACATCCATGAGGGTTGTCTTCCCCGCGCCAGTCACCCCCACCAGCGCGGTGAGCACTTTCGGCCGGAACGCCCCCGAGACGTTTCTCAGCAGCTGCAGGCGGGTGGCAGAGTTGCCGGCGGCGTGGGCGGCATGGGAGCGCATGGCGGGCGGCATGTCGACCCAGTAGCACACATTGTGGAAGGCGACGGGCAGCGGGAGGAAGGGGAGCACCATGCCGCGAGTGGTGGCGGGCGGTACAGAGAGGTCCCGGGACAGGGTGCGCTCGATTGTGTGCCCCATGGAGTGAGACGATGAGACTGCAGTGCATGCGCGGTGGGGAAGAGGGAGAGAGGAGAGACATGGAGGGTAAAGAGGGAGGAAAGGTTAGCCCTTTCTGTTCACCTCTCAGCCACCCAGGTCCTCTTTCCCTACGGCAGCCTTTCTAGTTCCTACTTCCTCTCTCTCACTGCTCTCACCTCTCCCTTCTTCCCACAACAGTACCGCTCTCACCTCTCTCACCTCTCCCTTACCGCTCTCACCTCTCACTCACCACTCTCACCTCGCTCGCAGTACCGCTCTCACCTCTCTCTCCTCTTTCCACTCTCACCTCGCTCGCAGTTCCACTCTCACCTCGCTCGCTGTACCGCTCTCAACTCTCTCCCACCGCTCACCTCGCTCACAGTACCGCTCGAGGGCGCCATTGCTGCGCGACCCAACAGAGCGAGCGCTCTGACCCGACTGGCTGCGGATGATGCTGATTCTGATCGGCATGGTTCAAGTGCCCCCACTGGCCCGCTCTCACCTCGCTCGCTGTACCGCTCTCAACTCTCTCCCACCGCTCACCTCGCTCACAGTACCGCTCGAGGGCGCCATTGCTGCGCGACCCAACAGAGCGAGCGCTCTGACCCGACTGGCTGCGGATGATGCTGATTCTGATCGGCATGGTTCAAGTGCCCCCACTGGCCCGCTCTCACCTCGCTCGCTGTACCGCTCTCAACTCTCTCCCACCGCTCACCTCGCTCACAGTACCGCTCGAGGGCGCCATTGCTGCGCGACCCAACAGAGCGAGCGCTCTGACCCGACTGGCTGCGGATGATGCTGATTCTGATCGGCATGGTTCAAGTGCCCCCACTGGCCCGCTCTCACCTCGCTCGCTGTACCGCTCTCAACTCTCTCCCACCGCTCACCTCGCTCACAGTACCGCTCGAGGGCGCCATTGCTGCGCGACCCAACAGAGCGAGCGCTCTGACCCGACTGGCTGCGGATGATGCTGATTCTGATCGGCATGGTTCAAGTGCCCCCACTGGCCCGCTCTCACCTCGCTCGCTGTACCGCTCTCAACTCTCTCCCACCGCTCACCTCGCTCACAGTACCGCTCGAGGGCGCCATTGCTGCGCGACCCAACAGAGCGAGCGCTCTGACCCGACTGGCTGCGGATGATGCTGATTCTGATCGGCATGGTTCAAGTGCCCCCACTGGCCCGCTCTCACCTCGCTGTACCGCTCTCAACTCTCTCCCACCGCTCACCTCGCTCGCAGTACCGCTCGAGGGCGCCATTGCTGTGCGACCCAACAGAGCGAGCGCTCTGACCCGACTGGCTGCGGATGATGCTGATTCTGATCGGCATGGTTCAAGTGCCCCCACTGGCCCGCTCTCACCTCGCTGTACCGTTCTCAACTCTCTCCCACCGCTCACCTCGCTCGCAGTACCGCTCGAGGGCGCCATTGCTGCGCGACCCAACAGAGCGAGCGCTCTGCCCCGACTGGCTGCGTGTGATGCTGATGCTGATTGGCAGCCCATCCCCATCCATGCCCCCCCCCCTGCCATGACTCTCAGAATTGCGCCTGCTGCCAGTGCTGTAACGCTTCGAGAGGCGCCTGCTGGTGGCTGTGGCGGCTGCTGTTAGGCCCACTGCTGCTTCTACTCTCGCATCCAGCTGTTCTTCTGTCACTGGCTGGTCCTTGGCCCATGCTGATGTTGGATGATGACGTGGCATGGTAAGGAATGGGGTTGATGGGAGGGAGAGGTGTTATGCGGGAGTTGGGGGGGGGGGGGGGGGGTGGGGTTGGAGAAGCAGAGGTAACGACAACGAGGGCGCTGAGGAGGAGAGTGAAGCCGATGAGATGAGGGCTCCAAGCAGGTGCCACAACTTTATGTGGCCGCGAATGCTAGCAAAATGGAAAAGAAAATAGTGTGTTTGCTTGCAGCAGCAGCAGCAGCAGCAGCAGCAGGTGTACATGTACTGACGGTGGAGGATGGAGAGGGCGACGACAACGAGGCCGTTGAAGAGGAGAGTGAAGCCGATGAGCGCCAGCACGCCGATCCACACCCACTTGCTCTCCGTTGGGAGGCCCCTCCCCTCCAGCACCACCAGCCCCACCGTGGAGTTGGGGATTAGTGGTGCTGTGGACTGGAGGGAAAGAGTGGAGGGGAGGTGAAGGGGGAGGGGAGGGGAAGAGGAGAGGGGAAAGGGGGAGGGGAAAGAGAAACAGAGGCATGTTCAAGGTGGCTCAGACCTCACCCTGCCAGCACCAGCATCCCCACGGCGGAGAGGGGGAGGGGGGGGGAGCGGAGGAGGAGGGGAAAGGGAGAGGGGGGAAAGGGGAAGGGGAGGGGAAGGAAGAGGGGGAGGGAGAAAAAATGGGGGGAAGGGAGTGGAGGAGAATGATCCGTCGTATTGACGCTGATTTGGGCAGATTTTGTTTCCTTGACCTGATGGGAAAGCATTTATTGCGACCCGTTTGCACACACTCCAGGCGAGCTTACTTTCAAAGGGTTGGCGCCTACTGCATAGACCCCTATGTACATCCCCTTCACGATATAGACATGTGACTCACCACTTGCCACCTGGCATGTGACTCACCACTTGCCACCTGGCATGTGACTCAGCACTTGCCACCTGGCATGTGACTCACCACTTGCCACCTGGGGGCGAGGAGCTCGTTGACTGAGAGGGCGTTCTGTGTGTAGGTGATGGGCGACATCCAGTAGGCCCAGATGAACCATGGCTGGATGTCGTCTGTTAAGGGGAAGAGAGGGGAAGAGGTGGTAACCAGCAGGCCCAGATTAGCAAGGGTGTGGGTGATGGGCGACATCCAATAGGCCCAGATGAACCATGGCTGAATGTCGTCTGTTGGGGGGGGGGGGGGGGGGGGGGGGGTGTGGAAAACATTAAGGTGTGTGTAGGATGTCAACAAGAAGAGGATGTGAGTCAAGTGGTGTGTGTAGGTGATGGGTGGCATCCAATAGGCCCAGATGAACCACGGCTGAATGTCATCTGCTGGGTTGGGGCGGGAGAGACGTGGAAGACAAACACCAAATGACTGAGGGGCGACTCATTCAAGAGACGAGAGGAGGAGAGATGATTCGAGAGATGGGAAGCAAGAAGCAGCAGAACAAAAACAGAAAAAGCAGGGCGACCTGGCCCAACCTTTGCGACAATGAAGCCTCCGAGAAAGCGGATGATGAAATGAAGTTGCCGAGGGTGACAAAGGGAGCAAGTGGGACAGCTGGGCTGGGCTCATGAAAGTGATGGAAAACAGAAACAGTCGAGACGGCAGGCAGCAGGCAGCAGGGCACATGGCACGCCTTTGGCAGCAATAAAGCCGTCGAGGAGAAAGTGGATGATGAAGGGCGAAGGTTCTGAGAGTGATGATGTGAAGTGAATGAACTAGTGGGGGTGATGTATTAAAGAAAGGGATGGAGGATGAGACGAGACGAGTCGCCTGCAATTGCAAAAACGCCACAAGGCAGGCAGCAAGGCACGTGGCGCACCTTTGGAGACAATGAAGCCTCCGAGGAGGAAGAGGATGATGAAGGCGAAGTTGCCGAGGGTGATGGAGACCACGAGGTTGCGACCGACCGCCCCCAGCAGGCGGAAGAGAGCCACTCCGGTCTGGTGGATGAGGAAGAATATGAGGAGCTGGATGAAGAACCTGGGGGTGGGGGGAGAGGGGCCAGGGGGGGCGGAAGGAGGCATGACTTTTTAGTCGGTTCAAAGAGGAGGCGGAAGAGAGCGACTCCGGCCGGCCTGGTGGATGAGGAAGAATATGAGGAGCTGATGACGAACCTGAGGTGGTGGGGAGGGGTTTGGGTGGGGAAGGGGGATTGGAAGGAAGAGTGGCTTTTAAGTCGATTCAAAGAGCGGGTGAAAGAGAGCCATCTGGGCGTGGCGGATGAGGAAGAAGATGCGCCGCTGGATGAAGGACGTTTAGGGGGTGGGGGGTGATACTGGGAGGGCGGTGGCATAGGGACGGGCGGACGAGTGGCTTCTTAGACGGCTCAAAAAGCAGGCGGAAGGGAGACGAGTGGGGTGGAAGGAGGGAGGGGGAGTGGGGTGGGGGTTGAGGAAAGGGAAGGAGGGAGGGGAGGGGGAGGGACAAGGGATGAGGTTGGATTGGGATGGAAATAGAAAGTAGATAAGGGGATGGATTCACACACCAAGGATACTCCTTCGGCTCTCTTGTGACTCCCTCCCGCTTCCAACCCCATCCACCCATCCGCCCATCCACCCATCCGCCCATCCGCCCATCCACCACCCATGCGCACCTGCCAGCATCTGGAGCAAAGCCAACAAGAAAGTACGTGCCAGCCGTCCACAGCGCCGCCACCACGGCCGACAGCGGGAGGGACAGCACAGCCATGGGCAGCACCCAGGCCCACGCGGGGTAGAGGCGCGTGTTCCTCTGCTTGAAGAAGATGGGGAGGCGGAGCGTGAAGAGGAGGAGCTCGAAGAAGGCGTTGAAGAGCATCATGGTGATGCCGAGGAAGAGCACTCCCAGGTAGATGTTGCCGTCCTTGGCTGTGATGGAGCGCTGCGTGTACAGGAAGACTGTGGACGACATGAGGCTCGTGAATATCACCTGGTGGAGAGTGGTGGAGCGCGGTGGAGAGGGGTGGAGAAGGGTGGAGAGGGGTGGAGAGGGGTGGAGAGGGGTGGAGAGGAGTTTGTTGGAAGAAGGCGTTGAAGAGCATCATGGTGATGCCGAGGAAGAGCACTCCCAGGTAGATGTTGCCGTCCTTGGCTGTCATGGCCCGCTGCGTGTACAGGAAGACTGTGGACGACATGAGGCTCGTGAATATCACCCGGTGGAGAGCGGTGGAGCGGGAGGAGAGGGATGCAGAGTTTGTCACAATAGAGAAGTATTCATGACAACCATTCCCATGCGTGCATGTGACACCATGGCTGCACGCATGTGACACCGTGCATGCACGTCAACACACATGCATGCTACATGATGACGTGTCAGCCTTTTAAACCGTGGTCACTGTGCCACACAGACCATGCCACACCACACAGCATGCCACACACCACACCTACATGATGAGAGCCATGTGGAGCAGCACATGCCACACACACCACACCACACACCACACCACACCACACCAAACAACACCACACCACACCACACCACACACCACACCACACACCACCACACCACACACCACCACACCACACACCACACACCACCACACCACACCACACCACACCACACCTCACCATACCACCACACGCACACACCACACCACACCACACCACGCCACACCACACCAAACCACGCCACACCACACCACACACACACCTGCATGATGAGAGCCATGTAGAGCAGTGCGTTGCGTCGCATCAGTAACCACTCCCGGGCGAAGACAGCTGTCAGCATCTGAGTGGGCGAGAGGGCGTAGGGGGCTGTTTCCAGTGCTGACGTGGACGAGTCTGTTGGCTTGAAAGGGGTCTGGAGAGAACAAAGGTGGGGGAGTGAAAAAGGGAGAAAATATGAAGAACAGTGAGAAGAAAACGGGACGGTTAAGTGAGAAAAAAATGGAAGAACAGTAGGAAAAGAAGCTAGAAGTTGGAAAGGGAAGTTTGAAATGGAAGATTCAAGTCAATGAGTGGTAGTGTTTGAATGATTGACACCGCACAACCTAGCACCAGCCCTGCCTGTCTCTGCTGCACTCACTGTTGGAGATACACAGTATCTGGCGTTTCTAACACTCACTGCCAGCTCTGCTTGTCTCTGCTTGCCGAGAGCAGAGTGGCGGAAGGCAGCAGCCATGTCCCCCGCTGCCATGATCTCGTGAGGCTGCGACTTATCCACCCAATACTGTGCTTGGTCCTTGGCTGACGTCACCTGAGAGAACAGGGGGGAGGAGTGGGAGAACAGGGAGGACAGATAGAGGGGAATTGATGAGGCACCTTGAAACATTGCCTTGATGATTGAAGAGTCGTGGGAAAAGCAGCCATGTCCCCCGCTGCCATGAACGCGGGAGGCTGCGACTTATCCACCCAGTACTGCGTCTGGTTCTTGGCTGACGTCACCTGAGAGAACAAGAGAAGAGGGAGCGAGAGGGGAGAAGAGAGGGGGAAGAGGGGAGAGGGAAGAGCGGACCAGTAAGGACAGTGAGTAGGAAGAAAGTGCGTGCAACTTCGACACCTCCACTGGGACACTGCTACGGCCTCCTCTCCTCGCCACTCGTGCTATCCACAAAACCACAATCCTCAACCACACCATCCGGACTCCTCTAACCCAACCCCACTCACCTCCAGAAGAAAATCTGCCAATCCTTTTCTGGGAGGGCAGTCGAACCGCAGCGACTAGAACAGCCCCATAACGCCCTCCCCGGGCCCATGATGCGCCACAAGCCCCTCCCTGGGCCCATGATGCGCCACACGCCACGGGAAGCAGCACAACAAGCCTCATCCAACCCCCACCCCCCTCCCCCACCGACCCCAGTACCCCTCTCTCACCTCCAGCAGGAAATCTGCGATTCCTTTCCTGCGAGGGCAGTCAAACCCCAGCGACCGGAACAGCCCCATGACGCCCTCCCGGGGCCCGTGATACACCACGTGCCCCTCCGCCAGCAGCAGCACGTCGTCAAAGAGCGCAAAGGTCTCGGGGGCGGGCTGCAGCAGCGCGATGAGCGTGGTGGTGCGGAGTGAGTGGGTGAGATGGCGCAGGCAGCGCGCGATGAGGAATGTGGTGGAGGAGTCCAGCCCCGTGCTGATCTCGTCCATCAGCAGCACCTGCCGCATTCCCACCAGCTCCTCGCCTGGAGGGACAGCAGAAAGGGGGTAGGGGACGGAAAGAGGGAGAGAGAGGCACATCGTCAAAGAGCGCAAAGGTCTCGGGGGCAGGGCGCAGCAGCACGATGAGAGTGGTGGTGCGCAGCGCGTGGGTGAGATGGCGCAGGCAGCGCGTGATGAGGAAGGTGGTGGAGGAGTCGAGCCCTGTGCTGATCTCGTCCATCAGGAGCACCTGCTCCATTGCATGCCCACTAGTTCCTCGCCTGCAGGGACAGGAAGAAGGGAGTAGGGGAAAGGAAGGAAAAGAGGTATATGCTGATTGTGCGCATCTCATTCATCAGCACAGGCTGCTGCATGCCCACCAGCGCTTCTTGTGCCCACCAGCGCTTCTTGTGCCCACCAGCGCTTCTTGTGCCCACCAGCGCTTCTTGTGCCCACCAGCGCTTCTTGTGCCCACCAGCGCTTCTTGTGCCCACCAGCGCTTCTTGTGCCGCGCACGAGAGCGTTGCCCACCACCGTGGCTGCACAGATGCCCCGCCGCAGCAGCTGCCAACCACACACAGATCATCTGTGGTAACGCACCTGTGTCCCCCCCCCACCTGTGGTAACGCACCTGTGTCCCCCACCCACCTGTCTGTGTCCCCCACCCACCTGTCTGTGTCCCCCACCCACCTGCCTGTGTCCCCCACCCACCCACCAGTGGTGAGCCGTTTCTTCTGGCCGCCTGAGATGCCGCGCACGAGAGCGTTGCCCACCACCGTGTCGGCACAGATGCCCAGCCCCAGCAGCTGCGGAGCAGGCAGGCACATTGGGATTGGCAGGGGCATGGGGACAGGGGGCAGGGAACAGGGGGCATGGGGACAGGGGGAATGGGAACAGGGGGCATGGGGACAGGGGGAATGGGAACAGGGGGCATGGGGACAGGGGGAATGGGAACAGGGGGGCACGGAACGAGGGGGCTTTTGAAGCGCCTCAAAAGCCATGCACGAGGGTGTTGCACACCACCTGTCCGCACAGATGGCCAGCTTTTGAGGGGCCTCAAAAGTCGTCTTTTGAGGCGCCTCAAATGCAGCCCCTGCAGCTGCCGAGCAGACATGTTAGGTTTGCTGGGGGGCATGGGAGAGGGGCACGGGAGAGGGGCACGGGAGAGGGGCACGGGAGAGGGGCACGACAACAAGGGTTTTGAGGCAGCTCAACTGCTGTGCAGGAGAGGGTTGCCCCCAGCAGCTGCCGACCAGGCAGGTTAGGTTTGCCCCAGGGGGCACGGGAACAGGGGGGCACGGGAACAGGGGGGCACGGGAACAGGGGGGCACAGGAACAGGGGGGCACGGGAACTGGGGGGCACGGGAACAGGGGGGCACAGGAACAGGGGGGCACGGGAACAGGGGGGCACGGGAACAGGGGGGCACGGGAACAGGGGGGCACGGGAACAGGGGGCCACGGGAACAGGGGGGCACGGGAACAGGGGGGCATGGGAACAGGGGGGCACGGGAACAGGGGGGCACGGGAACAGGGGGGCACGGGAACAGGGGGGCACGGGAACAGGGGGGCACGGGAACAGGGGGGCACGGGAACAGGGGGGCACGGGAACAGGGGGGCATGGGAACAGGGGGGCACGGGAACAGGGGGGCACGGGAACAGGGGGGCACGGGAACAGGGGGGCACGGGAACAGGGGGGCACGGGAACAGGGGGGCACGGGAACAGGGGGGCACGGGAACAGGGGGGCACGGGAACAGGGGGGCACGGGAACAGGGGGGCACGGGAACAGGGGGGCACGGGAACAGGGGGGCACGGGAACAGGAGGGCACGGGAACAGGGGGGCACGGGAACAGGGGGGCACGGGAACAGGGGGGCACGGGAGCAGGGGGACACGGGAACAGGGGGGCACGGGAACAGGGGGGCACGGGAACAGGGGGGCACGGGAACAGGGGGGCACGGGAACAGGGGGGCACGGGAACAGGGGGGCACGGGAACAGGGGGGCACGGGAACAGGGGGGCACGGGAACAGGGGGGCACGGGAACAGGGGGGCACGGGAACAGGGGGGCACGGGAACAGGGGGGCACGGGAACAGGGGGGCACGGGAACCAGGGGAAGAAACGGGATTACGTGAAGGGAAATGAGAGCACAGGGGAAATTGCTTGGAAGTGGTTGAAAAGGCAGAGAGATTCACAAGCATGTGGTGCTTTGGGAACAATGTAACACGGACATAGGCATGTCTGGTCTGGTGGTGGTGGATATGGTTGCATGTAGGTACCAGAACAGTCACACTTGCAACACGTCCTTACAAGGTGGGTAGAAGTCACACCTGCTTGAGACACACCTGCAAGAGTCACACCTGCTAGAGTCACACCTCCTAGAGTCACAGCTGTTTAGAGTCACACCTGCTTGAGTCACACCCGTGTGTGTGAGTGATAGCACACCTGGAGGAGGTAGTTGGTGACCATGTTGGACGGACAGGTAGGTAGGAACTAGGTACTGCCATAACAGGCACGCGCGTTAGAATCACACCCGCTTGAATCACACACACCCCACCTGCAGGAGGTAGTTGGTGACCATGTTGGACGGATTGGCCTCCACTGCCATGGCCTGGTGGTGATGTGATGCGAGAGGAGAGCGAAGAGAGGGGAGAGGGGAGAGAGGAGACGGTAGACGGGGGAGGGGGAGAAGTGAGGGGAGAAAAAGAGGCAATCAATGGTAGAGGGATCGGCATTGACTCAAAATTGACTTACCTTCATCAGATTTGACTCGCCTTGACCAACATTGTCGCGCTCTTGACCAGCGTTGACTCGCCTTAGACCAACCTGACCCACCCTTGACCAGCGTTGACTCACCCTTGACCTGCGTTGACTCACCTTCATGAGCAGTGCTGTTGTCGCATCCGGCTCCACTCCCATCTCCTTCTCCCTCCTCTCCAACTCCTCCACCAGCACTGCACTCACATACACACATACGCGTGCACGCACACGCACGCGCACACACACACACATGCGCACACACTCACGCACCCACCCACCCACACACACACACACACACATGCACACACACCCACGCACCCACCCACACACACACACACACACACGCACATGCGCGCACGGGTGCCCACGCACGAGCACGCACAGACACAACTGAATGAGAGTCAAAAGACAAAAAGAATGGCTGCACAAACCAGCACTTTGAGGAAATTTGCTTGGGCAACATAATTGAATTACCCCCTAACTATTCCATTTATTTGAGCACCTATAATTGAATTACTCCCAACATCGCAGTAAAATCGTTCTGGGGAGTATGTGTGCTTCATAATACATCAACCATGCGGTCCTTGTCATCACCTCCTGATCGCCACCATCCCCAGATGCCCTCACCCCCCAATTGCCCTTGTCCCCGCAAACCCTCATCCTGTTTTTTTCCGAAAACCCACCGGCCCACCCTCCCCCGGCGCATGAAATTCCATCTCAAGTGGGGACATCCCCAACAACACCATAGTGACTTCTGAGCCGGCCCAAGGGACACAGCTGTCATCTCATCTCACCTCAGCAGAAATGTTTGAGTCGACTCACGTAAGGGGCACAGCTCTCATCTCATCTAACCTCAGAAGGGAAATTTGAGTCGACTCACGTAAGGGGCACAGCTCTCATGTTATCTCACCTCGGAACGGCCCCCTCCCCTGCAGCTGGGCAGAAAAGTCCATTGTCTCCCTCACGGTCATCTCGCCGATGTGCTCGTCACACTCGGGCACATAGGATGCTGTTCGGGCAGGGTTGAAATCTTTCAGCTGCTGCCCGTTGTACGTTATGGAGCCAGAAAGCTGCAGAGGTGGAACGCATGAGGAAAGAGGGAAACGGCAAGAGGGAAACGGCAAGAGGGAAACGGCAAGAGGGAAACGGCAAGAGGGAAACGGCAAGAGGGAAAATGCAAGAGCGGACGCACTGAGCATAGGAGCATGCATGTGGGCCCTCCCATGCAACAGTATGCTCAAAAGGAAGCGTATTGAAGGGCAGACGCGTTTGGATAGGCATCCCCTTGGATCACGTTGCCAAGGCGATCTTTTAGAATTTTAAGAAATCGCTCACATGGATACATCTTTCTTAGAACACAGTGCCAGATGAAGTCAAGCCAGGCCTACTCAAGTGAAGATCCCGCTAGTTGGGTAACTAGTACCTGACAGGCACGCCTTCAGTCAGGTGTCCGTCCAGGTGGCCGCCATACCTGCAGGTGTCTGTCCAGGTGGCTACCTGCAGGTGTCTGTCCTGGTGGCTGACTTCAGGTGTCTGTCCAGGTGGCTACCTTCAGGTGTCTGTCCAGGTGGCTACCTTCAGGTGTCTGTCCAGGTGGCTACCTTCAGGTGTCTGTCCGGGTGGCCGCCATACCTTCAGGTGTCTGTCCGGGTGGCCGCCATACCTTCAGGTGTCTGTCCGGGTGGCCGCCATGCCTTCAGGTGTCTGTCCGGGTGGCCGCCATACCTTCAGGTGTCTGTCCGGGTGGCCGCCATACCTTCAGGTGTCTGTCCAGGTGGCCTGCCAGGGCAGTCATGAGGGTGGTTTTCCCCGCGCCAGGAGAGCCCAGGAGAAGCGTCATTCTGTGAAAGAGGGGGGTGACGGGGGCCGGGGGAGGGGGACACAGGAGGGGAGGGGAGGGGAGGTTTGGGGGGGAAGAAAGGGTAGGGGCAAGCCGTTGACTGCGGGAAGGAGTTGAAGAGGGCGAGGAATGAAACCTGAAACGGACTGAATATTGGATGTGGCTCTTATGTACGAGAGGAAAATATAGCAGCTGCTGGGCATAAGCACCACTAGCCTGGCTAAGTGACAGCATTACCTGGCTAAGTGTCACCTGCCCAGCTCTAAGCCTCACACTAACAAGCTTTCAGCCTTTAGCCCCACTTGCCCACTCACCTGCCTTGATTTTCAGCCTCACCTGGCTGCCTTAAACCCTCACCTGCGTGGTTTAAACCCTCAACTGTTCAGCTCAAGCCCCCACCTGCCTGTCTTAACCCCTCACACTTACCTGCCCTTCTTAAACCCTCACCTGCCCGGCTTGAGCACCCCGCTGCATCCGTGGAGGATGGGGAAGCGACGCCGCTTGTCTGGCAGCAGACGCATGCTGCGCAGCATTGACTGGGAGGTGGAGGCAGGGGTGTTGGGAGAAGGGCGAGAGAGAGGGGCGGGAGAGGAAGGAGGGGAAGAAAGATGGAACGAAGAGGAAGAATAAGGGTTGAGGGCATAAGATACATTCATGGCGGATGGGGAAGTGGCGCCTCTTGTCTGGCAGCAGGTGGATTCGGAGTGGAGTGAGTGAGATGACGTTTGGGGTGAGAAGAGGGGTGGAGTGAGACGAGGGGTGACGTGAGACGATGGTTGGAACGAGAAGAGAGTTTAGGGGGAGTTCAAGTCTAGTCGATTTCAAAGGAACAGGAGACGAGTTGAGTGACTTACTGTGATCATGTTGAGTGTGAAGTTAGGGAGGGTGGGGAGGCCTCTCTTCCCCACATACACCCTTGCTTCTGCACTCACGTCCTCGAATCGAATCTCCACTTTTGGGGGCTCCAGTCCCACTCTGCCATATGCGAGTGCATGTGAGCATACAGGAATGGTATGAGTGCATACAGGAATGGTATGAGTGCATACAGGAATGGAAGGGTGTGCATGTGTGGCCAGCCATGTGTATGCGCATGCATGCATGTGTGTGCATGTGCAGGAATGCATGTACGTACGTGAGGTATGCATGTGTACGTGCAGGTATGCATGTGTGTGCAGGGATGCATGTATGTGCAGTGCAGCCATGCATGCGTGCAGCCATGCATGTCCAAGGCCATATGACGTGCCATGCAAGGAAGAATGGCTTCAAACACGAGCCACAAAGAAGCAAAAGCATGGTTGCATGCATCATGCATGCATCGTGGTTGCATCATAGATGCATCGTGGTTGCATCTTGGATGCATTATGGTTGCATCACACATGCATCATGCACGCATCATGGATACATCATGCATTGATTGCCTGCGCCTCCCCCTCTGTGCACCTTGCATGTGAGTAACTGTCCGTCCACCTTGCCCCTCCCCACGCCCATGTTCCTCTCCTTGCCCCTTCTCATACACCTTGTCTTGCCCATTCCCTTGCACCTGCTCACGCACCTCTTCATTACCTTGCCCCTCGCACCTTGTCCCTCCCAATGGCCCCTCCCCACGCACCTTGTCGTGTCGCTCGCCATGGCTCCTCCCGAATCCCACACACCTATCTCCCGCGCACCTCTTTTAAAACCCGCCCACCTCTCAAGGCGGGCGCGCATCTTCCCCATCACCGTCTCGTTGTCCAGTTCAGTCGTCTCCTACGCCTGTACCTCCCTTTGCCCCATCCCACACCTCGTCTTTCCCGTCCCCCATGCCCCATCCCACGCACCTCTCCAGCCGGGCGCGAATCTTCCCCATCACCGCCTCGTTGTCCTGCTCGGTCGTCTCCAGCGCCTGTGCCTCCACCACCCCTCTCAGGTGCGCCCTCCCGAATCCCACGCACTACCGAGCAGCCTTGCCCCACCCATCCCATCCCACGCACCTCTCCAGCCGAGCGCGAATCTTCCCCATCACCGCCTCGTTGTCCTGCTCAGTCGTCTCCAGCGCCGCCTCCACCACGCGCTGCCGCTCCCCCCGCGCTATCCGCCCCACGCCCCCGCGCCCACCCGCCACGTCAGCACATCCACGCCAGGACGACCGGCTAGAGTCTTTTTCCGAGAACCCCTGCAGCATTCCCTCCTTTTGTTGAGTCTCGCCATCCTGTGCTGCTGCACTGTCCGCTGCCCTTTCTGCTCCCTTGTCTGCTGTCTTGACGCTCCCAGCTGTGTCACCCTCCGCTATTGTCACTGCCACGTCAGCTTCCGCCTGACAGTCGTGGCCAACGGAGAGGCTTTCTGGGGGGAAGGAGAAGGAGGAAGGGGGGAGAAGAGGAGGAAGACGGGGAGAGGAGGGGAAAATAAGGGGGGGTTAGGCGGCGATAGCGATATGAGTTGCTGCTGAAGCAAGCTGAGGGAGCGACCTCCGCGAGTGACGGTTGGTCGTGCACTGCGTCGCGACATTTGCGCGGACGAGTGCGAATTGCTGCGAGCTGTCGTCGCGACGGGCGAACAAATTTAAGTTGAACCTGAAACAGCTCGCGAAATTTGGCGACTTAACGCTCGCGTTCCCACCTGCGAAATTCAGACAGCCTTGCGAAAACATCGAGCACGCGCAACATTGACTCACGGGAGACATCTGGGCGGAAATAACGCGCGCCGCGTGCAACGAATATCATTTCAGCAGCGCCACCAGAGTGAGGTGACGAGCAGGTTAGCTCGACCGACCGCCGGGACGGCCTGTGACCGCCACAGCTTAAACTTGAGCAATCGGACTCCGCCATTAGACTCACCAGCAGCGACGCCGTTAGTAGCCATGCTTCGCCGCGTGTCGCCAGGCGTTGTCAGGGAAAACGGCTCGCGGAAACCGCGGCGGAAAGAATGCTTTTTGCAGTAGAGCGGGTATACTGAGATAAACGCTAAAGTATGAACCAAATTTGGCCAGGGGCTATTCAGGAATATTAATTAAATAAATACTCTGACTCTGGCGTTTCGTGAATGTGGCCTCCTTCAAGACTCGAAAAGATTTCGCAACTCGAGCATGCGCTACGTTAATTCTCGCCCATGGATTATGATTGCGTCAGAACGTCGACCTAATTGCCGCAGCTTGCATCCCCAGTCGAGGAACGCGCAGCGCATTTCCTCTCAAAGCTACTCGACATTCTAAACTTAGCATGAAGCAACACAAATGCACTGCTCCTTTGAATGCTTGCGCTTTTACCAACTTGAGGTTGTGGTACAATCTTGCGAGCCAAGAATTGGATATGGGTTGGAGGATGTGCTGAATGATGGGGGGAGAGAAGGAGACGCGCGTGAAGTGCACAAGACGGACCACAAGTGGTTGGGTTGGGAGGCATTGGGTCAATATGGCGATTTACCCTGAACTAGCTAGGGCTTCTCCTGGGACTTTCAATCAAACCCAATCGGGTTTCTGATACTTCGGGCCCAATCGGGAAGGCCCACGGAGTCCTTGTTACAGAACAAAAGTTTCGAGAAATGCCCCAGAAAATAGTCATTGAACTCTGTTTTCCACTAGCCTTGCGGAAGAAACCTACCCTTGGTAACCGACATTGTCCAATCATCAGAATTGCATTCCGCCTACGGTAGCCGTTCCGCCACCTCAACACAGCGCATTTTTCCGTGTGGTAGGGGAGGTCAATGGGGGGTACTTTGTAACACCCACATAGTCGTGTTGGACATAACAACACTCACGGTGTACTTCCTTTCACCATTTATCTGTGAGATATGGGACATGAGGTGGTGGAGAAATAAGGTACGTGCATGTCGTTCTATACAAATGTGTGCTTTTCATTACAGTGTGTATAATTTTTTCCATAGATGCAAAAATTATACGTTTTCTGAAACAGGTCCGACAATATCTTATTAATATTGGCAAAGCAATGAGTTTATTAACGTGCATCAGCATTTTTTGTCTCGACCTTTCAACCTCCTACTATGTTCTCTAAAAACCGGAAACGAGGATAAATGTTATAGTTTGTATTGTTTAGTCTATGTGGTGTACATCATTATTACCATATAGCCCCGGATATAAGTGACGTCCTACTAATAGCGCCGGCGCTTCTATTTGTAGCACTGCGCTTTGTGAATCAAGAAAACAGGAATGAAATGACTAGGTGAAAGTTGGGTACAAAAGGCAAACCCTAGGCAACTGTACCCCATATGTGCTACCCCACTATAGCCTACAGTAGCTATGTCATATAACTCTGACACACCCCCATAGGCAAAGTGGGGGAGAACAAGGGGTCACAAGACCAGTCAAGCAAAGCAAAGCAAGCTCAGGGTGGATCACAAAGTCACCACACATTCCGAGCACAAGTTCAAGGCCACAAGGCCAGTTCACATGCAGGATTACATATATATATAAGGCTAGACAAGCAAGAGCAGGAGTATATATATATGCAACAGTACAAACAAGGTCAAGAGGTGAGCAAGTGAGGCAAGGTAGGTACAAGACCCAGCTGAGTACAGAAGCGCTGATGATCACAAGGCGCAAGTGCCTTGGTGAAGATATCAGCAGTGTTGGCCTCAGAGGCCACGTACGCAAGTCGCAGCTGACCACGCTGCTGTAGCTCACGAGCAAGGAAGTAGCGAAGAGCAATGTGCTTCGTTCTGTGCTCCAGTCTCTGCTCTCGACACAAGGCCAGCATGGCCTTGTTGTCTACGTAGAGCACTGGAGGAGAACGAGGCGGCTCTCCGAGGTCAGTCAGCAGGTAGGTGAGCCAGCGAAGCTCCTGTGCAGCCATGGCCCCGGCGTAGATCTCAGCCTCACAACTGGAGCCGAGAACAGAAGACGAGCGAGTAGCCCGCCACGAAACAGAGCCGGAACCAAGGCTGAAGGTGTAACCCTGTGACGACCGCTGCGTAGCCTGGTCGTCAGCCCAAGAAGCGTTTGCGTGTCCAGTGAGGACCACTGGACTCTGCCCTCCAAGCACAAGCCTCATGCCCGACGTACTGCACAAGTAGCGCAACACCCTCTTCGCTGCAGCCATGTGCTCCGGTCTGTGTCTCCCAGGAGCAACATAGCGTGCAAGAATGCTAAGAGAGTATGCAAGGTCAGGTCGTGTGCAGGTCATCAGGTACATGAGGCAACCAACAAGCTCTGGGTACGGGCCACTCGACTCTACGGACTCATCCGAAGGCAGAGCTGAGAGCGAGTGGCGAGTAGGCAGAGGAGTGGCCTGAGGCGAGGAGTACGTGAAGCCGAAGCGCTGAAGGACCTGCTGCACCATGTGTGACTAAGTCAGGGTAATGGTGCGGCGTCCTCTGTCCCGGGTGATCTGCAAGCCAAGGTAGCTGCGCAGTTCACCCAGGTCTGTGCACGTGTGTCTCTTCTGCAGCTCGGACTTCACGTGGGCAAGTCCAGCAGTGTCAGCTGTGGCAAAGACCAAGTCGTCGACGTACACGAGGATGTAGAACGGCTGCAAAGAAGTGTCGGTGCGCAGAAACAGCGACGGGTCGGCAGTAGAGGGAGCAAACCCAAGAGCCGCAAGTGTAGTCCTCAGTGTGTCGTGCCACTCACGCGGTGCCTGGCGGAGACCGTAGACTGGCCGTCGGAGGCTCCACTGGGTGCCAGGAGGAAAAGACCCAGTGAAGCCAGGTGGGCGACGCAGCCAGATCTCCTCGTGCAGGCTGCCCTGCAAGAAAGCAGTGCTGAAGTCAAGAGAGTGCAGCTCGTAGTCGCGGTGAGCAGCTATGTGCAGCAGTACCCGAAGAGTGGTCATCTTCGGGGTGGGAGAGAAGGTCTGAAAGTAGTCAACTCCCTGCCGCTGACTGAAGCCACGAGCCACGTAACGCGCCTTGAAGACAGGCGGAGAACCCGGCGGCCACTTCACCCTGAAAATCCACATGCCACTGACGATGTTCGCCCCAGGCGGGGGAACCTCGTCAACGTAGGTGCCTGTGGACTTCCAGGAAGCCATCTCTGCGTCCATAGCTGCCTGCCACTGAGAGGAGTAGGGACCCTCTATCGCCTCCGCGTAAGAGCGCGGAGTCGGGATGTCAAGTGCATCCGGGTCTCCCTCAGGGGTAAGCAGTACGGACACGAGATGAGGTGAAGCAGCAGCCAAACACTGGAACTCCTCCTGCGTGTCCTCAAGGACGTCCGTGCCAAGGGCACACTCACCCCCGACGGACGGAGGACAGACAGACTCAGACTCAGCAACAAGACTAGCAGCGTAGTCTAGACGACAGCGAGCAGCAAAGTCGACGAGCTCAGTAACTAGGGCAGACGCAGTAGTGGACTCAAAGGAAGGGTCAGTGACAACAGTAGCAAGGAGACGCGTGACAGTAGGACTGGCAGCACGAAGAAAGTCCGACTCCGGGTCAGGAAGAGCAGGAAGAGAGGACTCAGGAGGAGAAGGCAAAGGGGCACGCAGAGGAGCAGTGGACGGACGCAGAGACATCCGGTGCGTGCCAGGGACAGGAGGAGGACGCTGACGCGAACCACGAGCACTAGTGCGAGCAGCACGGACAGGCGACGCAGGGCGAGACGCAGGCTCACGACGCTCAGCAAGACCTCCAGTAGGACCAGTGTAGGGAGAAGGAGCGGGCAGTGGGGAGGCCGGCTGTAACTGTAACTGTGACGGGACAGGCTGTGGACACGCTAAGGGAGGAGGAGGACCAGTAGAAGGCGGGAGACCAAGAACCTGCTGAAGGAGCGGAACGAAGTACGGCCGAGGCCGCGCGGCGACTCCAGACACAGCAGGGACAGCACCAGTACCCCCAGCGGCAGCACCAGCGCCAGCAGCACCTCTAGCTCCAGTACCTCCAGCAGCACCAGTAGCACCCCCAGCAGGACCGCCTCCAGGACCGACAGCAGTAGCCTCAGCGCCAACACCCTCAGCAGCTCCAGCTCCAGTCGTACCCGCAGGCCCAGCAGCTCCAGTACTCCCAGTACGAGCACCTCCGGGACCCGCGGCACCAGCACCCTCAGCAGCCGAAGAACCTCCAGCTCCAGCAGCACGCCTCCAGCGCCGGGCAAACCACTCGCGCAGCTCCTGTGGAGAGAGTGGCTCCCGCCGAGACGAAGCACCCGGAGAACCTCCAGGCTCAGCACCGCCAGACGCCACACGAGCAGGCCCAGCTCCCTCAGGCTCCGCACCCCCAGGCTCAGCACCTCCAGGCGTAGCACCCCCAGGCGTAGCACTCCCAGGCTCAGCACCCCCAGGCTCAGCACCCCCAGTAGTAGCACCCCCAGGCTCAGCACCCTCAGGCTCAGCACCCCCAGTAGTAGCACCCTCAGGCTCAGCACCCCCAGGCGTAGCACCCACACGCTCAGCACCCCCAGAGTCAGCACCCCCAGGCTCAGCACCCTCAGCAGCACCAGAGTCACCAGTAACCTCGACAGGCTCGACTGCGTCTACCTGGGACACACCTGAAGGGGCAGGACCCTGAGGGGGGAGGGGGTCTACCGGGGGGGGACCTGGGACAAGGAAGAGCGGTGGCGGGGGGAGGGACGGAGTGCGGTAGGGGAAGAGGCGGTAGTAGGGGACCGACTCGTCAAACGTGACGTCCTGGGAGGACAGGACACGGCGAGAGGTGGGGTGGTAGAACTGCCACCCTGGCGCGTCAGGGGGGAAGCCAAGGAAGACGCAAGGAGCAGCACGAGGGGACAGCTTGTCCGCAGACAAGTCGCGGACAAACGCCCGAGATCCCCAGACACGGAACGCAGACGCATCGCCAACCTTCCCCGTCCACAGCAAAGCTGGGGAGGTCTCCGGCATGGAGACCCTGGGGTGAAGGTTGATCTGATGCGCCGCGTACCGAACCGCAAACGGCCACAGAAAATGGGGGGCAGC